AAGAGCAACACGATAACACGGGTGAATTTACACGGTTTTACGGTCGGAGAAAACCGCGTATAGTCAGCGAAATTTGCACGTCGAATCTTTTGTCGCTCGTTAAGGGTTTCCTATTAAACGGAACCACGTAATTAGAAGTAGCTCGTGTGTTGCGCTGGTAATTAACGAATCACCAGGGACGACGTTTAACTGGATATTCGCGATCTCGTTTCGAGCAAAGTTTCGAATTTCGCGCCATTTTCTCTCGTTTCTTTTTTACCATCGGTCGAGAACGATGCATTATTTTTATTATTACTATTTTATTTATTTTTCTATTTGAATTTAAATTTTTTCGAAAAGTGTGTGATTCTTCTGAAAGAATCTCTCGTTTGTTGACTGAGCTCGTCGAGATTAACGGAATATTTGGATGGTTGAACCACCAACGTACCAACGATGCTGTTTCTCGAGCTCTTAATTATTAGAACCGAGATAATTTGAATCGTGTCAACAAATTCGCGGATCGTCGCGTCTTGTGGATTGCTTTTTGTTACAAAATCGTTGCACAAATATTATGAAGGAAATAGCGCATAATAATTGTGTATAGCAATGATGTTTTATTGACACAATGCATAATTATTATGGTAAAATTTGTGAAAATGATTTTCTGCAATAATGATTCTTATAATAATGCATATTAATAATAACAACATAGTATTATAATATTAATTATAAAATTAATAATAATAACAATTCTTCCTATCGACATTCTACAGATTAGGAAACTTTCAAAAATAAATTTTGTAAATTTTCAGACAATAAATGAATAAAAGTATGCTTTATAGTAATGGATATAGAAAATTCCAAGTTACTAATCACATTTTTACTTTAAAAAAAAGAAAAATACGTTTTCTCACTTCTTTCAACAACGATAACAGCAAAAATTGTGAAATTTTCTTATACAGTATGCTACAGCAGTTTAATTTAGACAATTTCAAAATTATACCAGAAATATAAATCCGCGCAAAAAAATCCTCTTATACCTCACGATGCATTGTTTTAACCCGCGGAGCAACGATCCAACCATCCGGATAAAAGTTAATATAACCCCCGTCTGTTTATGCTAACAGCGAAGGCACGAATTTCAAAGCGAATACGCCTCCCTCCTTCCCTCCCCGTCCCCTTTGGCAGATGTCGACTCGCCTCTTGTAGCCCCCTCCCCTCGCCCCTCCCATTAAAAATTAATAGAGACGCGTTCCATAATGCAAGAGATTTGAATTTTCATTCGGGTAGGCCGAGGCCTCGTTGCAAATTTCAAGGATACACGGAGATACAGACAGTTCTCCCCGTGTATTTGTTGCCTCGCGTTTCCCCGACGCGGTGGTGGAAAATTAATAGAGCCGC